ATAAAAAAAAAAATCCCAACTTGCAGGTCTTATTTGCAATCTCACATATTCAGCTCCTGATCTGTATCTAACTGGCTCATCCCATGCATTCATCATTTGTTAACCCTTTCTGGAGGGTTAACCTGCATGTGGAGCTTCAATATAGTGTGAATGAAAATATTGAGTCTTGAGGAACCTCTGCTGAGAAAAACTTCTCCTGGGTGTTAAGTTCACGCCAATTTTCTTGCAAGCTTGTAGAGTGAGAAGCTGGGATTGTAGGGGCTGGTCTCTCTTTTGGATTCTGAAAAATGCACCATCTTGGTGCTTGCTTGTAGAAAAGCTACAAATACTTTTTATACTCAGCAATTCTAAGGAAAAAATTACCTCAAACACCTCTCATGATCAATAAACATGAACCTCTTCTTTTTATTGTTGAAATTATTAAATGCACTTAAAGTGTTGAAGTATAACACAAATAAAATCCTATGAAAATAGATGCAATTTCTTCTTCCTCAGCTGCAATTTATTGCATTTGACAAACTGGTACTAATACAGGAGAGAAAGTTGGGGAGCAAGGGCAGATTCATTATTTTTTTTTGTAAGCCCAGAAATGAAAATACTTTGTTACAAAAATAATTTGCACAATAATAGAAATAAGTAAGTGCACTGCAGACTCTCTGGAGTAAAGCTTTCCTTCTCTCTTTTGCTCTGACAGTCTGCTCATTAACAGTGAATTGGATTTACATGCCATTTCAAGAGAAGAAGAAAGCACTGGTGTATATACTCTATAATAAGCACTTAGATTTTTGGTTTCATGTAGATGGGAGGGTGCGTTAACATCTTTATGTCTTTCCAGGGTGAATTAAATTTTGATGTCCTATTTCATTTTTGACAAGAGTCAAAAAGTCCTGTAGATTTGAGTTTGATTAACAGGACTGCATGTGTCCTGCTGCAGCAGTCTAGCTTTTGCTGATTTTGGTGACAATGCAGGCAGGAAATACTCTACCAATAATTCAGATAAAGCACCTTTTTCATGTTTTTTTGCAAACTCAGCATCATTATGAATCAAAGGGTTTGGCTCTGGGAAAGCATTATGCAGCCCCCTTGTTAAAGCGATGCCCTACAATATGCCTTGTGTCCTCTTGGAGGGGAGAGGGCTCTGTCAGTCTGAAAAAAAGCAGGAAAATTTAATGTATTCTTTTTCCAGAGCAGTCGTTACACATCTGCCTTTCGAGTGCCACCCATTAAGTTGGTTGAAATTGAAAGCTCAGATAGGAGCCTCTCTCTCAAAACATTTCTCAGGAATATTTTTCATTAGCTGATATCATTACGTGCGCAATCCCTTCTTCACCCTCACCCCTGTCATGATTTCTTTCATACATGAGGGAGGTGAGGGAATTTATCCGGATTAAAATCTATGCAAAGATATCTTTACAAGTCTGTCTAACAGAGGGTGCTTTTCTCTTAGAAGCCATGACGGGAGGCATATACAGAATGACTAAGGCAGCCAATTAATATGTTATATAAACAGCAAGCACCACTAGAAAAAGGAGAGAGAGAAAGAAAAATGAGAGATTTGGGGTGGGGGAGGAAGGGGGGAAGGGAGGTTGTAAGTATAAAGTGTTTGCCTTAGGACTTGTCTTCAGTTACAGAGCCAGACTCACATGACTGGAGCTTGGTTTGATGTGGTAATGAAGCATTGATCACAGGAAAAAGATGAAATGGCCTTTGCTCATTCATTATTTTTATCTTCTAGCTGTGGAAGACAGAAAATTGTTCATAGGAATGGTTTCGAAGAAGTGTAATGAGAATGATATCAGGGTGATGTTTTCTCCGTTCGGCCAGATAGAAGAATGCAGAATCCTTCGGGGACCGGATGGGCTTAGCAGAGGTGAGTGTGCAGTCTGTAAAGTCTCTTTCCTTAAGTGCTAATTGGGAGCGATATGTCACAGCCAGGGTAGGCATAGCCGCTGTCTGCAGCTAGAGGTTACGCTGTAATGTGTCCCACGTGATGAAGGTATCCACATGACCTTTTCACAGTGACTGAAATTATCACCTTTTATTTCCAGTGTCAGAAAGGTCTCGGTGCCAACATATTAACTTGTGTTATCGCCCTGTTTGTCAGCTGGAAAGGTTCCTTTGCACCCTGAGAAAACACCCTCAGTTTTCTGCTCTCACAAAATCAAAGATCCTTCCCTGACCCCAATGTAGCATAAAAAAAAAAGGACTGTAAATGACTGCTTGAAGGCATACAGGGTCATGGGAACTGGCCCGCGTTGTAGCACTATCTCCTCCATTCCTGTGTTTTCTATAACTATATGCAAAACATAGGTCTGCTGTAACTCAGAAGCAAAGAGGTTAGCTTGAACTTGAGAGCTTTGCTTGGACAAAACTTTGTAAAAAGAGCTTTTAAAGCTTGTGCCTCTATGATAAATGACTGCTTGAAGGCATACAGGGTCATGGGAACTGGCCCGCGTTGTAGCACTATCTCCTCCATTCCTGTGTTTTCTATAACTATATGCAAAACATAGGTCTGCTGTAACTCAGAAGCAAAGAGGTTAGCTTGAACTTGAGAGCTTTGCTTGGACAAAACTTTGTAAAAAGAGCTTTTAAAGCTTGTGCCTCTATGACAACCCAAAAACCAGGGCAGAGGTATTAAGCAGCACCACCGAGAGCGGTCAAGCGGCTGACCTGAACTTTGGAAATGAAGTGCAGCACAGACTTCAACAGCCGGTGATCCCTTTTGAGTGCAAAAGTGCCTTTTGGGGAAAGGCCCTCTAAAAACATATTGAAAAGAAAAATAAATGTATATTGATGACCCAGGCTGCATATTAACTCCATGATATATGGACCTGAAATTATTCTCGGAGCATGAACCTTCTCAAAATGTCAGTGCCAGGTGGTGCTGAGTGGAAAAGAAAATAGTGATAGTCCCGTCTGTCAGTGGGGAAGGATGTGTGGTACTAGCCATGGCCATTTAAACGGCACAGGGAGTAAAGTAATTTTAAGTGTGGAGCTGTGAAAACATCACTTCTGTTTCTATAGAAAAAAAAAATACATAGAAAGCACAGTTTATGCATTTTATTACATTTTCAAAAGGCACAGAAAAAATAATAGTACCCATTTTGCATATAGATATAGGTATAGGTATAGATATTTCTCTTTACTTTTGGATCTACTTGTTTCCAGTAGGCTATAGGATCCGCAGTATTTTGTGCAACAATTTGTGCATGGGGTTTTTTCTTTTGCGTGCAGCTCAGCTTCTTTAAAATGCCTATAAATGTCAGCAGGGGAGGTCGTAGGTGTTCCTGTATTTCATGGCGCTGCTTGAAAGCACTTACTATACTACTTCTGAATAATAAGGACTTGTTGAAAAGACACTCTGACAATAAATAAGGAGCCCCAAGAAAATTACGCACTTACATTTATGCATGCTTAGTCTGCGATCCCAAAGCTTTTGGAGCTGGGATGCATCAGTCCATTCAGGCAAGGAGAGCCTCAGGATCATGGCTTTTGCCTTGGAGAAGACTAGGGGAAAGGTCTGAGGTTGGTTCCTGCAGCTCAGTAATGAATGTTAACTGATGGAGTCGAGTGCTGCCATTATCTTTCTAGACCAAACATTGAGGCAAAACAAATATTTCTGATTTTCACTGATTTCATTTTGTAAGTAGCACAGGGAAAGGGTAATGGAAGACACAAGTGGGAAAGGAGCTAAGTAACTGCTGAAATAACAAGATCTGGGCATCAGATGTTTTAAGCCCCAAAAAGATTTAATTGACTCCTCAGTGTCACCCAACAAAGAAATGGATCTTTCTATGGGATCCATAGAAATCCCACTGCGTACTTGCTTTTATTCAACAGACATTGGGCATAGTACGAGCATAGAAAAGCTACTTATGAAATCCAACAGGGTAAGTAAGGTTGGTGGGGTAGTTTTGTTCTGCCATAAATGGCAATCTCACGATAATCGGAAGCTGAGATTTTTAAGCCATGTCACCAACGTATCAGGCAGGGCAGTGTCGTCTGCCAGCCAGCAGAGCCACAGAGTTAATGTGCTGCTCTCTCCTGCTGGAGGCTGAAGATCTCAGTCCAGGTAGGTCACACACCAGCAGTCATGGCATCCTCTCTGCCACTCAGGTTTATTTCGGTCACAATCACGACTGATATTCTATCATGCCCTCATGCATCATGCCTTGTTAAACTTGAATTGCTTTCTACACATGCTTGAAAATGAGTTCAGCTGTGCCAACCAGGTTTTCAGGCAGACGATTATCAGCTTCACAAAACCACCACTCCATGAGAGAAGGCAAAGTGTTGGGAAAATGGTTGGTATTGCAGTTGAAATGAAAAGTGCTAAGGGAGATTTGCAGTGGAGGGAGCCTGGCTGAAAAAGCACAGGGTGAAAAGCTGCTTCACTAAAGCAAGAGGGAGAATTTATACAGTTAAATCTTTGTAATGAGTTCCAATACTTAACGAGTTTTAATTCATGTTACCATTTCCAAGATGTTAATTCCCTTTGCCACAAACAATATTTGTTTTCCCAGCACCAGTCCGGATGTGCTTCCCCGCCAGACACAGAGGGGTGAATGAAAAATAGTCACTGTCTTAGGAAAACACTGCCCTCACCATGCCAGAGCCTTTGGGAACTCACAGTGCTCACAGCAGTGAGATGGAAATATGGTCCAATAAACTCTGTTTGGCATCTCTTTTCAATTGCATAACAAGTGCACATAATGGTATCTCAGATGAAAAGAGCTTGAAAAGTATATTCATTGGTATTTATGCCAACTTTCGAGCTTTGTTAAAGAGTTCAGGCAAATAATCTTTATTACCAGCGGATAGTTGCAAGGAATAGCTCCAGGTTACACTGCTCAGTAGAACAGTTTTGGTTTGTCCCGCTTATTTTTTCTTAGTAAAGAGTAAAAAGCTTTCAGTTGACTTTTAGGCCATGTCTGCACTACAACAGCAACCTTACCGCTAGTACGGTGGCGGTCTGCTGTCAGCCATAGGCAGGATGTAGGGTTGTGGTGTGCTACATGGCTCCGGTAGCAAGGAGAAATCCCGTCCAGTGGCATTAAAGGAAAATGTAACGCTTTGTGATGAGTGTGGTATAAGTGCTAAGGTAAAGAGAGAGAAGGAGAGAGATTGAACTGGTTGTTTCTATTGTAGTTTCTAGCCAAGAGTTGACAGAACTTTAATAAAGTCGCACTCATAGCTGTCACTATGGATAATGGACCATCAGCGTTTCTACTCCGAATTCCGATTGTCAGCTGTTTGAAACTCATTTGTAAAACGAGACTAAAATAATGATACAAAGCTGTGGAGGTGGAGCAGTATATTTTAAAGAAACTGAGATTTTTTTCCTTGAGACATTTTTTCCCCCACTATTGTTCGCTCCTGCATCTAAGAAATAATTGTTGTTTGTATCTGTAACTTGTTGTATTTCGGTCAGCTACAAGAAATAGGCAGCAACCAAAAGGCATTGCCTTCCGAAGGCTCTAGGATAGTGCCTGTGAAATTAGTTGGCTGGCAGAGAGTAATTCCTAGCTGTGAAAAGTATTAAAAAATAAAAATACCCTGTTGGCTGTAGAGATAAAGAAACCAGGGACTCAACAGACATGGAGGCTGGCCTTCGCTTTAGCAGGGTTCATGGGAATATCTAAAGAAGCTTGCCACTGCCTGCACTATATTCATTATTCAAAGAGAAGGATTCAGCCTGCAGGGTTGTTTAATCCAGCACTTTTTCTGAAGAGCTAAGTATGCTTTACAAAAATTCATGATTGTGATATCATGTGCTAAGCTTCATTATCATGAAAAAGCAGAAGTGAACTGCCTCAGATGATTAAGATTTTAAATCACTTATTGTAAACGGCTTAAGGAAACTTTCAGACCTCCTGACTCCTAGCACTGTGTAATGTCTACATGACCACCAAAGCCAACACAGACAGCCACGCAATGGTAGCTGGAGTGTGCAAAAACAGCCAGAAATACCCAAGTTTGGTTTGTGGCTCTGCCACTGATGTGCTGTGTTGACCGTAGGTGAGTTGGTCTCTCATCATCTCTCCGTTATCCCATTCCTTAAAATAAGGATAGCGATGTTCCTCTACCTTTGTAAAATGCTTTTTTTAGATTAGTGGATCAATATCTCTGTATCGCTGTAGGAATTATTATCATCCATAATGATGATAAAAAAAATCCTCTTATCCTTATCACAGGAGCACCACAGAGCAAATTATTCTGCTGGAATTGCTAAGTGCAGATTTATATAACAGATACCAGAAAGAAGTCAACTGGGTTAATAGCATGCACTGAAAAAACCTACTAATACCATGTACAGACAGTTGGATATAGCATGAAAATTGTGGAAGAGCTCCAAATGCACATTCCTACATCTTCTAGGCTCCTAATTGTATGATTTTTTTAACAAAACATCGCCAGTCACATGGGACAAGTGAACATTTCTGCAGACATTGATTACAGGGACTTTTTTTTACTTTCTTTGCATTAAGAGCAGGTTAGAAGTGGCATGGAGAGTTATACCATGGTCAGGCAATTTGATTTCCTGAAAATCCATTCATAGCTTTCGGATTCAGGGGTTTTCTTGATGATTTAGTAAAAGAAAATTAGTATCTGCATCATAATTAATTGCAGTGAAGGGTAGGTGAGGACATTTTATACCTGTTTGTTTTTCCTTATGGATATTTACTGCTCCTTCATGAGCTAAAGTAACGTGAAGTGCCAGCCATGGGAACAGCCTGGATTAGGGGCCACCTTCTGACTTGTGTATCAGTGATGGGAAGCAAGCATGGTGGAAGTGCTGTATTTTTAGTTGCTCTTCAGAAGCATCTCCATGCCTTATTTCTTTTGCTGTACTATGGTAACATTTTAATT